ATTGGGGTGTATGTACACCTCATATGTGGGGTATGTATCTTGTTGTATAGAGAGTTAATTTTGCTGCTGCTTCCTATGTGTAAGCAGCACCTGCAGCGTCGGCAGCAGCAGCTGCTGCTGTATATGATGTTGTTGCTGCTGCAGTTGCTGCTGCTGCTGCAGTTGCTGCTGCTGCCAGCAGCAACTGTAGGGTTTTATGTTAATCAGGATAATTATTTCTCTACATTACCCCGATTACCTTTTCCTCAATTTACTTATGTAGGCAGCAGCAGAGCAGCAAAAGAAGCAGCAGCAGCAGCAGCAGCAAGAAGAGCAGCAGCAACAGCAGCAAAAACAAGAGGTAATTCTTTCCTTTTTTCTTCCTCAATAAGCGGAGAGAATCTCCTAAACCCTAATGGTCAATCTACTCCTGTATCTTTACCATCTGCTGTTGCATCTGCTGCTGCTGCTGCTGCTGCTGATGATGCTGCTGCTGCTGCTGCTGCACTGCAGCAAGTTGAGGAATTAATTACTAATAATAAATTATTTATTTTTATTAAAGGAACACCACAAGAACCACAATGTGGATTTAGTAAAGTTGTTGTACAGGCATTACAAGTAAGCCATAAACCCTAAACCCTAAACCCTAAACCCTAATAAACCCTAATAAACCCTAATAAACCCTTATAAACCCTAATAAACCCTTATAAACCCTAATAAACCCTAATAAACCCTAATAAACCCTAATAAACTCTAATAAGGACCAAGCAGTGGCAACACGTTCCCCTCCCTTCCTCCTATAAATCCTCTCTATAACAGTGTGGGACTATATAATTAGGGTTTAGGGTTTAGGGTTTAGGGTTTGTGTATAGGCATGCGGTGTTGAGGAGATTCCTTATTATGATGTATTAACAAACCCTCATATAAGACAAGCAGCAAAGACATTTAGTGTTTGGCAAACATTTCCTCAGGTGTACGTACACCGCGAGTTTATAGGGGGGGCAGATATAATAGTAAATATGTATAAGACTAAGGAATTGCATGCATTATTACAGCAACACCAACTTATACCGACACAAAACCCTAATAAACCCTAATAAACCCTAATTCCTATTATGTACAGAATTCAACGTTTTTAGTCTTCGGTCCAAGACTCAAAGGTTTAGGGTTTAGGGTTTAGGGTTTAGGGTTTAGGGTTTAGGGTTTGGTGCACGTAGGGCCGCCACGCGCACTCGTGTTTTTATTGGTCTTTCTGTAAACCCCAATTCTCTGAAAAAACAAACAAATACAATTTATTCCTGTTTTTATTCTTTTTAGACAAAAAAAGAAGGGTTTAGGGTTTAGGGTTTAGGGTTTAGGGTTTAGGGCTTGAGGTTCAAAGGGTTTGGGCAAGCATTTAGGTGGAGGATACATTGGATACATAAAGTACGGTTTAGGGTTTAGGGTTTAGAGTACGCGTAGGCAATCGTGTTGACCTTCATCTTTAGTGTTTAGGGTTTAGGGTTTGTAGGGTTTAGGGTTTAGGGTTTAGAGGGTTTAGGGTTTAGGGTTTAAGGGTTTGTTTACTGAGTCCTTGCTGCCTCTGCCGCCTCCGCTGCATCAGCGAGTGCTGTCAGTCGGATGGCCTGCAGCAGCAGCAACAGCAGCAACAGCAACAGCAGCAGGCGCAGCAGCACCAGCAGCAGCGCAGTTCAGGTGTATGTACACCTCAGTATTTCTCCTTTAATTAACTATTAATGAATTAGCAGCAGCAATTAGCAGCAGCAATTAGCAGCAGCAATTAGCAGCAAGCTGCTGCTGTACCTGCGTAGCTGCAGCGAGGGCCTGCTGCTGCAGTTGCTGCAGTTGCTGCAGTTGCTGCTGCTGCTGTTGCGATAGTTGTTGTTGTTGCTGCGGTTGCTGTTGCTGCTGCTGTTGTTGCTGCAGTTGTTGCTGTTGCTGCTGCAGTTGCTGCTGTTGTTGCTGCTGCTGCAGCCGCTGCGCTCGGGTGTACAGACAGTCTGCTGCTGCTCGTATATCTTGCGATGATCTTTGCTGCCATTGCTGCTGCAGCAGCCAATTCTTAAAGTCCTTAAAGGCTACACCTTGCTGCTGCTGCTGCTGCTGCTGCAGTGTTTCTGCTGCTGCTGCTTCCCTGTTTTGCTGCTGCTGCTGCTGCTCTGTTGCAGCAACTGCTGCTGGTCGAGTCTTTGCTGCTGCTCCTGCTAGTCCCGTCGCACCGATCTTTGTCAGTGGGGGAACTGCTGCTGCTGCTGCTGCTGCACCTGCTGCTGCTCCTCCTCCTGTTTTTTCCCCACAGAGCTGCGCATACACCTCAAGTTCAGCAGCAGCAGCAGCAGACAAGGACAAACCAATTAAAAAGGGATCTTGCTGCAGCAACAGACAGAACTTATAGCATTCCTTAAGGGGAATAATTGCTGCATCTGCTGCTGCTGCTGCTGCTGCTTCTGCTGTTTGTCTTAATGCTGCTAATCTGCTGCTCCTGCGGCTGCTGATGGTAGCAGTAGCAGTAGCACTCGTGCTGCTGCTGCTGCTGCTGCTGCTGTTGCTGGCTTCGTTTTGTTCTGCTGCACGAGCCCAAACCCTTAGCTGCTCATTCATTGCCTCCAATTGCCATGCAGCAAGACACGAGCTGCTGCTGCTGCTGCTGCTGCTGCTGCTGCTGCTGCTGCTGTTGCCCCTGCTGCTGTTGCAACTCTTGCTTCTAGTTGGGGTGTACACTGAGGAAGATCGACATGCAGCAACCGGGACGAATTGCTGCAGCTTGCTATCTGCTGCTGCTGCTGTTGCAGCAGCAGCAGCAGCAGCAGCAGGAGTATTTTTTTTATTAATTCCCCCTCCCCCTCCTCCTAATAATAATTGTTCCTTAAGGGAAAGAATTTTATTTGTTTTTTTTTCTTTTTCTTTTTTTGCTGCTGCTGCTGCTAGCAGCTGCAGCCGCTCGCACTCAGAGAAGGAGAGGGGGAACTCCATGCAGCCCCCTAGTACAGCAGCAGCAGCAGCCATAGCAGCACGTTGTTGTCGTTGCAGCAGCAGCTGCTGCTGTTGCTGCTGCTGCTGCTGCTGCTTCCGTGCTGCTGCATCCTTACGAGGTGTACGCTGCAGCAGCAACTGGTGTCTCTCCTCCTTTGTTACAGGCAGCAGATCTAATAGCTGCAGCTCCTTACATACCTCCACTACACGAGGCCTAATAAACAGCAGCAGCAGCAGCAGCAGCAGCAGCAACAACAACAACAGCAGCAGCAGCAGGATAGAGTATATATATTGTGAATCTTAATGTTGTATATACTGCTACAATTATTTCTATATTTGCTGCTGCTGCTGCTGCTGCTGCAGTTTCTCCATTCCTTCTGCTGCAACAACAACAACAACAACAACAACAACAACAACAACAACAACAACAACAACAACAACAACAACACCAACAGCAGCAGCAGCAACAGCAGCAGCAGCAGCAGCAGCAGGAGGAAGTATACGTACCTATATAGAGACTCAGCAGCAATAGGATTATCTTTTAGATTAAGATTAGTTAATAATGTTAATATAATTAATGAATGTATTTGCTGCTGCAGCTGCTGTATCTTATTATTAGCTAAGGAGAGAGTATGCATGCTGCTGCTGCTGCTGTGCAGCAATGGTATATTTAGCAGCAAATTATTATCTGCATATAATTCTTTTAGACAGCAGCAGCAGCAAACAGCAGCAAGAGAAGATATATTATTATTATTTAGCCATAGGTAACGAAGACACCGTAGATTTATTATAGATATTATTTTTATATCTGTACCCCCTAATCCGCATAAATTTATTTCCTCTATATTCCTGCTGCTCCTCTTGCTGCTCCTCTTGCTGCTGCTGCTGCTGCTGCTGCTGCTGCTGATGCTGCTGATCACGCTCGTGCTGCTGATGGTGGGGTTGCTGCTTGTTAGTATTATACCACAGGACTCAGGGGATAATATCTTCTCTGTATGCAAACGATGCACTACTCCTTCTCCTTTTGCTGCTGTTGCTCCTGCTGCTGCTGCTGTTGCTGCTGCTGCTGCTGCTGCAGATGGAGGTGCAACAGATGTAGCACATGCTGGTGGAGGTGCACCAGATGCAGCAGGAAAGCTTCCTGCTGCTGATGATGACGGTGCTGCAGATGTAGCAGGGTTAGTAACAGTAACAGATCCTCCTCCTGCTGCTGCTGCTGCTGCAGGGGGACCAACTGGTGCTGCAGGACTGCTGCTGGACCGAGCAGCAGCAGCAGCATTTGCATGCGTTTCTTCTGTCATGTTGCTGCTAAGATGAAAAAAGAGCAGCAGCAGCAAGATCTTCTTTCCTTAGCAGCAAGCTAATCCTTATAATAGTTACATCTCTTTCTTTCTTTTTATTTTATTTATTTTTATTTATTCTTGTTTTTTATGCAGCAGCAAAAGGAATTGCGATTATCTTTTATTGAGGTGTACGTACACCTCAATTATGCATTTATGTTAAGTAAGCGATTCAAGTGACTCTTGCATCCATGCATGCATGCATGCATGCAACTTTGCTGCAGATTTAGTCAATATATTTAATTTTTTAATTAAATATATAAATTTAATTTAATTTAATTAAAAAAAACCTTAAAATAATTGCTGCCTAACGCCGCTGCTGCTGCAACTCCTTATGCGGCTGCTGCTCGTAACAGCAGGGGGGCTCGATGTCTATGTAAATAATAGCGATTTTGTGTATTTTTTTAATAAAAAGGTTCTAAAAAATTAAATAAAATAAAAATTCAATTAAATTCAATCCTTTTTAGTGTGTATATACACCGCAAAGGTGCATGCAGAAGGCAGCAACTTGCCGTCAGTGCGCGGCCGATATTGAATGAATAATAGAGCTGTACGTACACCTAAAAAAGAAGAAATAAATATTTATTTATTTAATAAAATTAAATAAATAATTTTTATTTATTAATAATTAAAAGATGTTAATGGATAATGAAGATGATGCATGCAGCGACGCCTTCCGGGGCCCGCCAAAGGAGGGTTTAGGGTTTAGGGTTTAGGGTTTAGGGTTTAGGGTTTATGCACGAAACAAAGAGAGAAGGGAGTTAAACATCTTTATTTTTTGTTGTTTTTCTCTCTTCTTGTGTCTTAAACCCTAAACCCTACTAATCCCTTCTCTTAGGGTTTGCGGCTCTCCTCCTTTGTTGTTCTTACGGTGTATGTACACCTCATCTTATGCGCCTGCTTCCCCTTCTTGGCACCTTCCTCGTTAACTTCTTGCTGCTGCAGCTGCTGCAGCAGCTGCTGCTGCTCCCTGTCGCTGGCTTCCTCTGCACCAGCCGCAGATCCCCTGGTGCCACCCCTGCAGCGGCTGTTACCTCTGCCCGTGCTGCTGCTGCTGCTTTTGCTGCTGCTGCTGCTGCATGCGTGCCTGCTGGGCATCCCTGTGCAGCAGCAACACAGCGCCTTCCTGCAGCATTTGCTGCAGCACCAGGCCATCGGAGGAATTCATTTTTCTGTTTATACGCAGCAGCAACACTCATGGACACACAAAACCCCACCTCTTCGCAGCAGCAGCAGCAGCAACAGCAGCAGCAACAGCAGCAGCAGGAGGAGCGTGCGGCAGCTCTGGAGAGAGAAGTGGCGGAGATCCGACGTATAAACGCCCAGAAGTATCAGCAGCACCGCCGGCAGCAGCAGCAGTTACAGCAGCAGCAGCAGCAGCAGCAGCTACTGCAGCAGCCTGCCCTGCTGCAAGACAGTATCCATAGGCAGCAGCAGCAGCAGCAACAGCAGCAGCAGCAAATACAGCGCCACATAGCCGAGCAGGTGGCCAAGTCATCCCCTCTCCGGCCTCCGCCACCATGCAGCCCTAAACAACCGCAGCAGCAGCAGCAGCAGCAGCAGCACAAGCAGCAGCAGCAGCAGCAGCAACGGGAAATTGAGGACCTCATCTACGTCAGCAGCAGCGAGAGCGATGACTCTGCTGTTGAGGCTGTAGTAGCACTGAGCGAATCTGTTCAAGGAAACAGAAGCAGCAGCAGCAGCAGCAGAAGGAGCAGCAGCAAAAGCAGCAGCAGCAAGGAGTACAGAGAGGAATTGCCTATAGATTCACCTAGCAGCAGCAGCAAAGTAAGGAGCAGCAAACGCAAATCAATGGAGAGTCCTGACGATAGCAGCAGGAGCAGCAGCAGCAGGAACAGCAGCAGCAGGAACAGTAGCAGTAGTAGTAGTAGTAGCAGCAGCAGCAGAAGCAGCAAACGCCATCATGCTACCTTTAGTACCACCAGCAGCAGCATCAGCATCACCAGCAGCAGCAGCAGCAGCAGCAGCAGCACAAGCAGCAGCACAAGCAGCAGCAGCAGGAGCAGCATCAGGGAGCAGCACCGTACCTACCATGCGGAGTACGAGAGCAACAATGGGAAAGACGGAGGGGCTGCTGTCGCCAGGAGCAGCAGCAGCAGCAGCAGCCGCAGCAGCAGCAGCAGCAGCAACATGGATACATCAGAAGATGTAGCCATTGAGCCTCCTTTGCCTTTTCGTAAAGATGAGTTCGATCTCTTAACATGGTTAGTTGCTGCTGCTGCTGTTGCTGCTGCTGCTGTTGCTGCTGCTGCTGTTGCTGCTGCTGCTGTTGCTGCTGCTGCTGCTGCTGTTGCTTCCTACTATTGTGTCTCCATTCCTCTGGATGATCTTTTGAAGAAATCTTCCTTTTGTTTTTTCCTCTCCTTACCCGTTGCTGCTGCTACTGCTGCTGCTGCTGCTGCTGCTGCGATTTGCTACTTTTGCATTTGCTGTTGCTGCTGCTGCTGCATTTGCTGCTGCTGCTGCTGCTGCTGTTTGTGTTATTTGCTGCAGGAACCTGGATGGTCTTGATGAGAGGTTCCTGCGGATAAGGACACAAGCTGTTTGTTACCAGGTGCTGCTGCTGCGCCCTGCTGTTGTCTTGCTGCAGGAGGTTGTTGACAGCAGCGCGAGGGTGCTGCAGCAGCAGCTGCAGCAGTACTACAGGTTCTTCTTCCCTAGTCCTCCCCCTAACTCCACAGCAGCAGCAGATAGCAGCAGCAGCAGCAGCAGGAGCGGGATGGCCACATCCACCTCCTCAGGATCATTACACTCATCAGCAGCAGCAACAGCAGCAGCAGCAACAGCAGCAGCAGCAACAGCAGCAAACCCTATAGTACCTGGATGTCCTTATTACTGTGCTGTGCTGCTGTGTAAGCAGCAAATGATTCCTCCTTTGCGGCAGCAGCTGCAGACTTTATGGTTTGCTGGCAGCAGCATGGGGAGACACCTGCTGTATGGTTGCTGCAGCAGCAGCAGCAGACCTGATGAGCCGCTGCTGCTGCTTACCTCACACTTAGAGTCTATGCGTCCTTTTGCTGCTGAGCGACGGCAGCAGCTGCTGCACTGCTTCGATCTTATGGCTGCTGTTACACAGGCAGACCCACAGCAGCAGCAGCAGCAGCAACAGCAGCAGCAGCAGCAGCAGCAGCAGCAGTTTCATGATGCATTTCCATTGGGGAAACCACAGAAAGTAACAACAGCAATTCTTGCTGGTGATCTTAACTTGAGAGATGACGAGTTGCTGCTGCAGCAACAGCAGCAGCAGCAGCAGCAGCAACATGAGCAGTTTGGCGGTTTTAAGCGCAAGTTTAGTGCTTTTAACGGCAGCAACAACAGCAGCAGCAACAGCAGCAGCAACAGCAGCAACAAGGAGACAATAATACCTAATAATACAATAGATGCATGGGAGTATTTAGGTAAAGATTTACGGTGTATGTACACCTGGGATATGTTACGTAATGATAATCATAAAGAAATAAAACGCAAATATAAACCCCGTTGCCGCTTCGATAGAATATATATTACCTCAGACCCACCATTAACCAGCAGCAGCTGCAGCAGCAGCAGCAGCAGCAGCAGCAGCAGCAGCAGGAAGGCTGTATGGAGACCTATAGGGTTAAGACTTATTGGAGAAGAAAAACTTTCTGTTGATTGTTTTCCTTCTGATCATTTTGGTCTTCTATGCCGATTCAAAAGAATCGAACTCCCTGCTGCTGCTGCTGCTGCTGCTGATGCAGCAGCAGCAGCAGCAGCAAATACTTAACTGCAGTAGCAGCAGCAGCAGTAGCAGGTGCTGCAGTACCAGTAGCAGGTGCTGCAGCAGCAGGGAAAAAGAGCCAAGGGAACAGACGATAGGTGTAGCAGCACATCGTCAGTAACGTAGACAGTAGTGCATCAGTCTGCTGCTCTACTTGTAGCTGCTGCTGTTGCTGTTGCAGCGACAGCAGCAGCGGCAGCAGCAGCTGCTGCTGCTGTTTGCTAACATCCGATACCTTTTTCTATGAACTGCATGCACGAGGCAACTCTTTGCCTCTTCGTTTTTAAGTATAACATTTCTTATGCTCTTATACTAAACCCTAAACCCTCAATATACAGAGGGAGAGAGGCAGAAGGTTATTTACCTCTATACAGTAGACGAGGTGTACGTACACCTGAATTAGCGCTACACATACGTGTGTGTATGCCTCTGCCATATAATATGTATTATATAGGCAGGGGGGGTTAATAAGTAAAGTGGGGATAAAAAGAGGAGGTAATACAATGAATAAACAAGAAAAGACAGACTAACTGAAGGAAATAACTTATAAAATTTATTTTTTATCTTTTCTTTTCCCCTATTTGTATCATGTGTACTGCACTTTCCTTAAGTCACACGTAAATCATTGAGTGTATCACGAATACGGATGGCGGGGGATAAAAAAGAGGTTAATTAATCCATTTTTCTGTTTTATCTTGGATAATTAAATAAAAATAGTTAATTTATTTTAATTTAAATAAAATTAAAAGTAAAATAAAGAAAATTATAGGGAGAAGAAGTGATGAATGTTGTGGTTGGAGGAGTCGTAGGTTTCCAATGGACCGATTTCAGGTGTACAGGCAGCTCACGATTCATGAGGAAGGAAGAAGAAGAATTCGCGAGGAAACAGTAAGTATTTTGTTTTTATTTTCGATTCTTTGTATATATTTTTAATTTATTCTCTTATTTATCTTATTGAAGTCGTGAGTTACCCGCGCTTACCGCCCGCATGGCAGGGTGTTGGTTCTTCGCTCTTGTCAACACATATGAATGCGTGCATGTAGATATACGTGTATTTCTTCTTTATACACGCCATTCATCTTCTTCTTCTTCTTTTTCATTCATTTTATTTTTCCTTTTAGGGCAATTATTGCCACGGCACACGTTGAATGGACGTTCATTTCCCTCCCTACCCGCCGCAGCAGCAGACAAGGACAAAAGAGCTGCTGCTGGCTGCTGCAGTCAACAGGGAGTTCAATTCCCTTCTTTCTTAGCAAAACACCATCATTCAAAGACTTGTTTCTCCTTTAAGTATCTTATTAATACAGATAAGATCTTCTTTGCCCTACTTATCCTCTTTATTTATCCTTCTCTTCCTCCTTTGCATACTCAAATACTGAAGAGGTCAACATTGAAGTTGTAGGAGGGCCCATGACTAGTCAGACCCTCTATTCTGCTTCAGGGGGCCCCCGAGGGGGCCCCCAAGGGGCCCCCCATGGAGGCCCCCGTAAGAGGAGTCTGTCTGCATGTGTGTTGCTGCTGCTGATGCTCTTGCTGTTCTTCTTCTCCCCGATGGATGTGACGGCATACAATACAGCATTATCAGCAGCAGGAGGAGGACCATCACTTACTGCTGCTGCTGCTCTTGCTGCTGCTGCTTCTGTGCTGCTGCTGCCTCTTGCTGCTGATGGTAAGAAAGTATTTGGTATAGCAAGGGGAGGCAAATTTGCGCCAGTTGGCGATTTTTGTTTTTCCGTCCCTCCCGGCATGACGGGTGCATTAGTAGCAGAGACGGTAAGCTGCTGCTGCTGCTGCTGCTGCTGCTGCTGCTGTTGCTGTTGCTGGTGGTCCTTCTGCGGCTGCTGTTGCAGTTGCTGAGGATAGGGGGAGGGCAGATACTGCTGTTGGCTAGCTGCTTCAGGTTTGTTGCTGCTGCTGCCTCTTCTGCTGCTGCTTCCGCCTGATATTTACTGCTGCTGCTGCTGCTGCTGCTGCTGTTATTTGTTATATACAGATGCTACAAGAAGAAGGACATGAGCTATTAATACATTCAAAGTCTGCAGCAGAAGAATACAAGAAAGCATCAATTAATGCCGGACTTTCTTTTGATGTACAAGAAGAAGAAGGAGGAGAAGGAGGAGGAGGAGGAGGAGGAGGAGGAGGAGATAAATCATTAATTAATACCTGTAATGCCCTACATAATAATGCTAGGGTTAGAGAAACATTAGGTAAACCATAAACCCTAAACCCTAAACCCTAATCAATAACATTATAGATCCAGGGTTTAGGGTTTTATGGGGTTACGGCTTTATGGGGAAGGCCAAAAAATTTTGGGGTTTAGGGTTTAGGGTTTAGGGTTTGGTGGGAGTGGTTTGCGCAGCTGGTCTTTCAAAGGAAGAACTAAGCAGAGGGGCACCGCCTGCATTCTTCGAGCTCAATTTAGTAAGGGATGCTTACAGCCAGGGTTTAGGGTTTAGGGTTTAGGGTTTAGGGTTTGATTTGTAATTCATCCTAATTAGGGTTTAGGGTTTGTGTTTGTTGCGGTGTTAGGCTGTTGATTCAAGCATGGACGGACAAGAGATGACTGCCTGGGTAATTCTGTTGGATTTCATTCCCTCTCCTACGGATCCTCCTCTTGGGTTTAGGGTTTAGGGTTTAGGGTTTTAGGGTTTAGGGTTTAGGGTTTAGGGTTTGCTTGCAGATAACGCGTTGCGCAGAGGGTCAGACTTTAAATGCCGCTTATTCAGTAACATTTCTAAACCCTGGAGGGTTTTTTACTCGCCAATTCTCTTGCCAGGATCAAGGTAAGAACTTAGGGTTTAGGGTTTAGGGTTTAGGGTTTAGGGTTTAGTGTTTAGGGTTTGTGGGTGTTTGTGGCTGACGGAGGTGAAAACAAACTGCCTTAGAGATGTTTTAGGGTTTGGTATTGCTGCTGCGGAGGTTATATGCTCCTGCATTCTGCTGCTGCTGCTGCTGCTGCTGCAGGCCTGCTGCAGCTATACATGGTGATGTCCTTCTTAGCCATAGCCATCTGTGCGAGCAGCTACCGGGTGTATAAGCAGCAGCAGCGGCAGACATCCCCTCTTGCTGCTGCAGCAACTTGCTGCTGCTGCATCCTAGGAACATCTATAGTGCTACAGACCTTCCACTTGATTGTATACGCTGCGGTGAGGGTTTAGGGTCTAGGGTTTAGGTTTTTTGTGTTTTAGGGTTTAGGTTTAGCGCTAAACCCTAAACCCTAATTTCTTCTTCTTATCCTTCTTATGCGCATATACAGGACGGCATAGGGTTACCTCTCCTTAAGTTTCTTCATCAGCTGCTGCAGCTAGCAGCACGCAGCTGCGGGCTGCTGCTGTTCTTGCTGCTGTCTGCTAAGGGGGTAGATAACAGAGGACAAACAGACCATCGTACTAGTGGAGTTGTATGTTTAATTAAATATGCATAATAAACCCTAAACCCTAAACCCTAAACCCTAACAGGCAGCACCGACAAGATGTATATATACACTGCAACATCTGTGCTAGGATGATGAAGCCTCCTTCTGTCTCTATATATCCTCTTGCAAGGGTTTTTTTGTCTAGGGTTTAGGGTTTAGGGTTTAGGGTTTAGGGTTTGTGTGTTGTGCAGCTATCGATGGTTGCATTAGGCGTTGTTGCTGCTGCCTTGATGAGTTTATTAGGGGGGACCTTCTTCCCTGATGAATTAAACCCTGCTTCTCTTTATACAACTGGTGAGGGTTTTATTAGGGTTTAGGGTTTAGGGTTTAGGGTTTTATCCCTTAACAAAAGATGTAACTTTCTTCTTCTCCTGTAGGGTTTAGGGTTTAGCAGTTTTTCTTCCTCCTTGTTTCTCCCTCAAACCCTAAACCCTCGACCCTCACAGAAACCACTAATTCGTCTCTCGTCTTTCCTGCTGCTTCTGCTGCTTGTTGCTGCTGCTGCTGCTGCTTGCTATTCCAGTCTGGGCTCTGCCCCTCCACATCATCACCGGCGTCGCTTCAGGTCAGCAGCAGCAGCAACAGCAGCAGCAACACCAACAGAAGCAGTATAGGGCTTGGTCCCTAGTGTATCCTTGAGGGTTTGCAACTTCCGTTTTGTGTTAAAGGCACAAATATCGTCTTTAGGGTTTAGGGTTTAGGGTTTAGGGTTTAGGGTTTGTGTTCAGTATTGATTATGGTGTTATCTTTGTTAAATGCGGAGGCGGCAAGTTTACCCGTACAAAGGAATACATTCCTTCGTTTGTGTTTCTGGTGAGTTCGTGTCTGCTGCTGCTGCTACTGCTGCTGCTGCTGCTGCTGCTGCTGCTCTTATTTGCTTTTTTTGTGTGTGTATATGCCTGTCTGTATGTGTTAAGGGGGACGACGTTTGTTTTATCTCCTCTTTTTGTCATTTGTTTTCTTAGCAACTTCCCGTAAGGCTCGGAGGAATACTCTAAACCCTAAACCCTAAACCCTAAACCCTAAAGCCATAGGGTTTAAGGAATATCTGCATGCACTTTATTTGCTGGTGCCTGCTTTTGCATGCATGCACGCATGTTATATTATTTGTATTTTTGTTTGTTGTTTTCTTCCTTTTTTTATATATAGACTAATGCAGGCGTATGTACTCCTCACTGTTGAACTTGTCTGTCTTGGCAGTAAGTATAGCAGCAAAACCAAGCAACACCAGCAGCAGCAACAGCAACAGCAGCAGCAGGAGCAGCAGATTACACGACACAGTGGGGCTGTCCTTTGGATATATCATTATAAAATAATGAATATTATTTGTATACTTAAGGTGTACATACACCCTAAATAAAGTAAATATATATTTGCTTCTGTGCTGCAGCTCTTCAACGAATTGTTTGCCGCGGCAATTTACAAACAAATACAAGAATGGGGGAAGTGAAGTCCCCTCTGCCAGCAGCAGACCTTCCTTACACAGACCTATGAGGTGTATGCGTATACACCTGAGCATTGCGACGACTGCAAGAAAAGTATATCCTTCGTGCTGCTGCTGCAGCAGCAGCAACTGGTGCTGTTGCTGCTGATCCTGCTGCTGCAACACTGCTCCTGTGATGATGTGGCCACCACTACTCCTGATTTCTATAAAGTGTGCAGGGAGTGCTTAAAGATAAAGAGGGACGTTTATAACTATTGCCTCATTTTCTTCTTCCTTTTTCTTTTTTTGTCTTCTTTTCTCCTTCTTTAGTGCCTATTTTTTGTCGTCATCTGTATGTTTCCATTTTCTTCTCCTCTCTTTATTACTTCTTTACCCATTTCTTGTCAGCATCTTTATGGTCGCTGCTATTCCTCTTCTATAATTCCTGTCTTACGTTGGGGATATTTCCTTATTCTAATCAATGCAAATGCATGCAGCAGTCCCTCTATGTGAGACCATCTCTTACTTATAACCAAATGTTCTCCTTTTAAGTGCTGCAATGGCAGCAAAGTGCTGCTGCAGTGCTGCATGCATCAGCGTCCATGCTGAATCCGATTCTTCAGTAGCCTTCAACTAAAGTAAAGAATTGAGCTAAGGAGAGGAGTAGATGCATGCATGCATCCTAACAAATAAACTCCAAATACAACGCCTTTTAAATGCGGCTTCCGTATTGCATGCATCTTTTATATTAATATTATAAATGTAGCATTTCATAATAATATAAATGTAGAGTTACTATCTTGCAGCAAGAACTTGACGAATAATGCCACCATAAACAACACAGTGTGCTACATCTTCTACTATATGTCAGAGCAACACAGCTATACTGGGATATAATGCAACCTAAGGAGAGATGGAATTGCTGCTTATTTTATACTTGTTTAGATCTGTTTGTTGCTCACAACAGCCCTCTGACAGTGTACAAGCCTCTCATTAAGAATTGTTATTAATGGCAATAGAGGGATGCCTCCCTAGAGAGGTTACTGGTTGCCCTCCTTTGGTCAGTGAGAAGAACAACATCAAATCCTTGCTGGATAGTTCTTTGTTTGAGTGTATGTATACTGTGCTGTATTTATCCCCTTTATTTCCCCTATGGAAGCGAGAGATAGTGGTTTTTCTTCTATATACAGATATGCACAGAATTTGCTCCTGCCAGAGAGCAGAGTTGTATAGAAGTATACAAGCCAAGGCAACTTTGTCTAGAGACGAATACGCATGCTCATTTATTTCAATGTATTAACTAATTAATAATAAGTCTCGATTGTTTTCAGTAGGTTTTATTTCTGCATGCAAACAAAACCAGTAAAATGGCGTCAGGGGTCCCCCAGTGAGCCAGCAAGAAGCCCCACGATTTCGACTCGACTGGTGCGCATGTCTGAGCGGCAATATGCGGAGAAGTTGCAAATAAAAAATAAATAAAAAGAAGTATGGGTGTACTTCTTTTATTTTCAATAATTGCAGGTTATACGTTGTGTGCGCATTGCACTGTATGTATGCGCACACTCCTATCGACGCCTTGCATGGCTGCCTCCTCTCTATCTCATCTCTACACGATTGAGTGCTAAGTTTCATTTCTACTATTTAATATAATTAAATCTGTTTTATTTATTGTATTTAAACGAAAGAAGAAACTCAGAAATAATTCTAATATGAGCGACCCGGCAGTCACCACTACGATGCAGCAGCAGGCGGGCGATTCAAATGCCACGGAGGCGCCTGCTTCCCCATTCAATCCTCGGTAAGGCAATTTATTTTAAAAGAAAAACAACTCTGAAACTGTCTACACGTACACGGAAAACGTGAATTCAGAAGTTGATCGTACACTTGGTGAGTTTGCTGGGGTGTACGTACACCGCAGATATGAATGGATGCAGAATGCGGAGAAGCTATTCATAACATTTTTTGTTAAATCTCTCGAAGACTCGGACGTCACCGTCGACATTTCCTCGCAAAGCCTCAAAGTGCAAATAAGAAATCCAAGTATAAACAAGGAAGCAGCAGAGGACCAGCAGCAAATATTCGTATTTCACGTGCCCAAACTCCGCCATGAAATACGACCAGAAGATTCAACTTATGAAATACACAAAGTAAGCGATCGTTTTATTCCCATTACTCCCCCTTCTTGAGTTGAAGAATAGGGAGGCCTACTCACATCGGATTAGAGGATATTACTTCTTTCCTTCTCTCGTGCTTTGTGCGTAGCGTGCCGACATTGAAATTGCGCTTGCTGTGTCAGTTTTGCACGCACACCATAGGCATTCTTCATTTGAATTAAATTTAGCTTTGAGCTAAAAGGCTTTTTCTCCTCATTTAATCGATTGTGGCTTATTCCCTGTTCCCGTGCATACATCTTTCATTTATATTATATATTCAACGACTTCCTTATTTGTTTCCTTCAGGCAAAACTCGAAATCCTCCTGTCTAAGAAGAATACGGGAGAGACATGGGCAGCTTTAGAAGCCGTAAAGCATGAGCAGGGGCAGCAGCAACAGCAACAGCCTGCTGTTAGTGCCTCGCGAGTTTATCCGTCGTCTAAGAAGAAAATTGATTGGAATAAAATGGAAAAGGTATTTTATTTATCCTTTTTGCTTCCATGTCGTTCGTTTGCAAAATACAGAACTAAGGATTAAATGTCTTTATTTACTCTTATTTACTTCATCTGCTGCAGGAAATAACAGCAGAACTCGAATCGGAACAACTAGAGGGGGAACAGGCGCTGCAGAAACTTTTTAGAGATATTTACGGCCGAGGAGACGAAGACACAAGAAGAGCGATGATTAAATCTTTTGTCAGTCGACAACACAAAACAAAGACAGTAACGCTAGTGCATTGGCGAGATCAAACATTCAGCAGCAAACCCCCATACTAGCCAGATAAAGTGATGAAGCCTGTTTTTTTACCATGCATTTGTTCATCGGCCCTTCCTTACATTTATTTCTTCTTGTTTTCCATTTCTTTCTTTTCTTTGGCCGTCTTTCTAATGACAACGACCAGCCTATTGTCCTTCTTGCCCTCTATCATTTATTTGCCCCTTCGTTTACTGACTGGCATGAGTTGATCTATTCTCTTTTGCCTTTGTTCAGCAAACATCAGGAGGAACTGTCTTATCAACGAATTGGGCAGACGTCAAGGACAAAGACTACGAAAAGGTATATTCTGTTGTGTATACTGCAAAGATTGCGTTTGTTGTATTTGCCTCTGCATTATTGGCTGCTTGTGCATATTGTAAAAAGGCATATCCTTGTGTTATATGCATGTTTGCATTGTCCACTATGCGTCGTCTGCACTATGGTAAGGCATATATGCGTTTATTAGTGTTTATTATTGACGCATACATTTATTTGTGTATGGATTTATGGCGTAAGCATCCTCCTCTTCCTTCTATTCTCTGCAAGAGAGAAGGGAGAGAAGACTGGAGTTCGTTCCTTTCTGCGTTCGTTTACCCTTATCATGCGGCTGGTGGTGTCGTGGGACTTCTAATGCATCAATTGTATATCAAAGGTTTTGTCAAACCGTTTTGATTTGCTCCTACCATTACTCTCCACACGCCTGTTTCTTTCTTGCATGCCTGATTGTTATATTTTTTCACTTGTTCTTATCGAAGTTCCTGTTTCCTTCGTCCATCAAGAGCCGCCGACGCGCGTTGCCGACGTGCTTTGACTTTTGTGTCCGTTGCAGAACTTAGAGGCCCCTGAAGGCCAAGAAGTTCGTTCATGGAAGTCATGATGATATAATAATATCAGCCAGCAACAGTTTATATTTTATCTATATACAATCAAGCTGATATTGGATGGTTTTTCTTTCTTTCGATTGCTTTGTCTATTATCCGTTTTCTCCTCCTTACTTTTGCTTCCCTCTTCACTTCTTGCTTTGACATTTTTGGTGGCCTTTGGTCATTTTTTACATTTCCGAATTTCTTTTTAGGTTGTTTTTGCGTTTTTCATTTCTAATTCTTCTGTACGATTTTGTTTCGTATTGCTTGCCGCATATCTCTCATCCATTCTTCTCTTTGGTAACAATAAATAGTGGCAAGCCAACAACGTAAAACGTTTCTTCTCTTGCAGACAGGGACAGAATTTGAGGGGAAACTCCCATTACTTCTTTGCAATTAATCTAACGTTTTGATCCTTTCTTTCCTTAGAAGCATTTGCTTACTTGCTTCTGCAAGTAGTATAAATATATATATATATATATA